TCTCTCCCAGCCTTCAAGCATTTGTTTCTGTCGGTAAAATGTAGGGGAAGAGAGCATGTCAGGCCTGACAGCAGCCACCATGCAACTTGCATAACTCATGCAGGCCCAGCTGCTTGCCACTGCTCAACAGCCGCTGCCCCATGAAGTGTTGTGTAGTGGTTAGTGTTCCAGACAAGGATTTGGGAGACCCAGGTTTGAATGTGAGTTGGGAAATACCTGGAGATTTTTGGGGTGGAGCCTGAGCCGCGGGTGTTGCCTTCTGACACACTTCCAGTGACGTCAGGGGGTGTGGCAGATGCAAATAAGTTATGCTAATGAGTTATGCTAATGAGCTACCTGCTCCTCTTTTTCTACAAAATGACCCCTGACAGAAGCATGACAAGTGGACAGTCATACGCATGTTTACTGAAAAGTAAGCTCCACTGAATGCAATAGGATTTATTCCCAAGCAAGGGTGCATGGTATTTCATTTCAGCCTTAGTAACAGAAGCAGATGATGTGTTTAATTTCAGGGGAGGAGTGTGAACGTAGAGCAACACATCTACATGCATGCACAAACTTCCAGAAGCACGCACTGTTGTAAAGGTATATACAGCCCTTCCTTTATATCACCAAATGTTTCTATAATGAACTACTCCGCTGCTGCTTCCAGTAGGAAAGCCTCTCCTGAACCTGATGAAAAGCAAGCTAGGCGTTGCAAAGAAAAACTCAAACAAGTTGTTCTCTTGCAGTGCTCTCCTGGGGGAGAAACAGCCTCAGAGGGCTTTCGTAAGAGGGGAATGAGTGTGTGCAGAAACTCAACTGTAAGCATTCCCTCCCACCCCCTGAGTATCCCATTATCTTTCCTGATAAACATGATGCTGGAATTACGCATTTGCCAAGATAAGGGATTGGATCCACTGGAGCATTTCTGCAGAAGGAATTATTTTGGCCTGCAGGGTGCAACTTGCTGGCCTCCCTCCTTCCACTGTGGCCCCAAGTGCCCCCTGAAGTTTTTTTGGGTGGGGCTCTAGCAGGAGGGGGGAGGCAAGAAAGTCATACTCCACAAGCAGAAATTGTTTCACCTGTGGAAACACTCTGCTGAATCTAAGCCAGTGTCTAGTTTGGCTCTGAAGCTGGACATCATTTCAGAACCAAGAAATTCATCCCAACGCAGCAGATCTGTGCACATGGAAGGAGAGTACTTCTCATCTAGCATGTTTTAGGGCCAATTCACACATTACAAAGTCCACATGTGTGTCATGTGGACTTTTGACAGATGTATTCTGGCACTCCTCTGACAGGAACACTTCCCAGATGTGCATAGGCCCAATTGGGTATTGGAATATGCAAGGTCTATAGTGCAGCCTTATGAAGAAGATCTGAAGATCATCCTACAGGGGGACAGCTGAAGGACTTGTAGTTAGCATACGTAGACTAGGGACTTCCCACTCTTTCAAACTGTGTCCTTGCTGTCTCCTGATTGGCTCTTCTGGAGACTCCCTCCTCCTGCAGAGCTTCCTTCTTCTTGTTGTTCCTCCTTCAGCAGTTAGGTTAGGCAGTTAAGGTTCTCTCTCTTCTATGCTTTATAACAGTTTGCTCTCCTTTAATAAGCCTACATATTTTTCTCTAAACAGATAGTGCTCCACTTCCTTTGCATATTTAAACTCTGCCAACAGTGGGCATGGACTTCAACCTACCTCTCTGCAACCTTTTCCTGATCTGAAGCAGCCCCAGCCAGTCACTACTTGCTTGTTGGGGAAATGAAAAGGTTGTTGTTGTTGTTGTTGTTGTTCAGTCGCACAGTCGAGTCCGAGTCTTCGCGACCCCATGGACCAGATCATGCCAGGCCTTCCTGTCTTCTGCCGTCCTCTGAAGTTGGCTCAATTTCATGCTTGTTGCATCTATGACACTGTCTAACCATCTCATCCTTTGCCATCCCCATCTTCTTTGACCTTCAATCTTTCCCAGCATCAGGATCTTCTCCAGTGAGTGCTCCCTTCTCATTTGGTGGCCAAAGTATTTGAGCTTCAGCTTTAGTATCTGGCCTTCCAGGGAACAGTCAGGGTTGATTTCTTTTAGGATCGACTGATTTGATCTTCTTGCAGTCCAAGGGACTCTCAAGAGTCTTCTCCAGCACCATAGTTCAAAAGAATCTATTCTTCGGCACTCGGCCTTCCTTATAGTCCAACTCTCGCAGCCATACATGACTACTGGGAATACCATTGCTTTGACCATGCGGACTTTTGTGGGCAGGGTCATGGCTCTACTTTTTATCATGCTGTTTAGGTTCGCCATCGCTTTTCTCCCAAGGAGCAGGCGTCTTTTAACTTCATGGCTGCTGTCACAGTCTGAAAAGGTACTAATAGCTAAATGGAAATTTCCCCAAGGAAGCAAACAGCAGTTACCCAGGGCTGCTTTAGGTTGGGCAAACAGCATGGGGGTGAAGGCCCTTCTCCCTACATGCTGTGATCTGATTTTAATCTGGCCCATGCATGCCTGAGAATAAAGTTCCCGCCATGGAGCTCCAGGTGCATGCCTGATCCAAAGTACTCATGGTAAGCAGGCAGGTGTCCACCACACAGACTTTACAACATGTGAATCAGCCCTTAAATTACCAGCTTTATGGGCCCAAGTACCTGCTTTCAAAGCAAGGTCAGTGCCTTATTTTTGGCAGCATTCTTATGCATTAAGCAACCAAATGACAGATATTCAAGGCTGTCCCCACCACAGAATCTCCAAACTGAGGCAAATCACTTCTGTTGAATTTTTGACTGCTGTCCAGCTTCTAACAGCACACTAGCACAGAAAGAAAAAGAATATGGCAAATCAAAGGTCTCTCCGGTTCACACCCGGCAGCACTTACTCTCCACTGTTAGTGTGATGGGTTGGCTGGTTTTATTGTCTCCGTTCTTGTCATTCACAGCCTGCACATAGTACCTTCCAGCATCAGGTGCTACCGTTGACAGGATCACAAGAGTGTTCTCCAGCGTGATGGCTCTGAAGGGAATGAAGAATGGTTTTAGTACTAGGTGTGCACCTCAAAGGCATGAGACACCCCCCCCTTAAGAAAAGCTGATAAGAGAAGTATATGCACCCCCTTATCCAATCCTCACTTCTGTTTCCCTCTAAGAGAAGTATCCAATCCAAACCCTTATCCAATCCTCACTTCTGTTTCCCTTTTTCGTTCAAGTCAGCCTGTGAATATGCATGTGTGCTCTTGTACTTGTAGCAAATGCTGAGCAAGTTTCTGCAGATGTGCATGATGTTTTTGTATGTCTGCTTACACATATGCATACATGCACAAAGAGGCACACAAGATGGAGAGATCTGAAATGTACTTCAAATTCTTCCCATCTGAGAGTTCTCCGGCCAATTGTAATGGCTCAAGAATGCAGGCAACTGAGCAATTCCCAATGCAAAAGTTGCAGTCAGTAGAGGCTGCAATGGGGCTGCACATCTGGTTCAGATATAATTACTAGATCTCTCTCCGCTCACAGCCTACTTGACTGTACCTGTGACTGCCTAAACACACGGGCAGCACATGAATGAAAGCAGATGGGCCTCCCTGCAGGAATAGGCACTGTTTTTTTGGCCTTGCGATAAGCTCAGCTTCTTCCTGCCTTTGCTCACCAACTAGCACATATAATTGCACCAGCTCCTGCATGGATTTTTTATCCCTCGCTCCATGATTTAGGGAAGATTTTGGCTTTCTAAAATCTTTTCTCCCACCATTCAGCATGATTATCCATTTATATCTTTATTTGGTGCTTTTTTTTAAAAAAAGAAAACAAACTTGCAGCAATGCTTTGAGAAAGGGAAGGAATGCTTTTGTGATTGTCACAAGGATCAGCCAGTCATCACTCTGAACAGCCAACTTCCCTTGAAACAGGAACAGCCAGATGCTCCTATGCTTGGTTTAATTTGAAAGTTTTATGCCAGTGCAGATCTACAGTGGACTCAAGTTATGAATGTCTGATTTCACACAAGTGGATGATCCCTGAGGCTCAGGAAGCCTCAATGCATAAACCAAACATCTGCAATATACTGAAGCTACTTTCACCTCAGGTGAAAAGGGGAAAACTATTCCCCATTTCCTGTTCCCACCTTTAAATTATCTCAGTGACTAAGCTCTGAGGAGGGAGAACAAGTTGGATATTCATAGATTAACAGTTTTCTTATTTTTACAGAATGATCTAATCTGCTGGAAACATAAAATGGCTGAGGGAGGGGAAATATATTTTAACATTAAATTTGTGATAAAGAAGCTTTATCTCCTCAAACTGCCTTCACAAATGGAAAGGCAACCAGTTCACGTCCTGCATAATGGAGGTTACATCTTCAATTCCAGAATGCTCTGTGTATGAAAGAATTTGGTAAGATTCTGTGAGGCTATGGGTACGTTTTGTTGGTTGCTGTTGTTTTTGAAGTGTGTGTGTGCGTGTGCATGTTTTCTGCTGCGTGTGTGAGGGAGGTTTTGGTAAAATGTGTGTTTCACACTGGTGTGCATTGCTTCTTGGTGTGTGTGGCTGTAAAAACTGCATCCAATAAAGGGCAAATGTGTTTCCAAGGGACAAACTAAACAAGATGCTGGGAGACATGATCGAATGTGAATCAAACTGGCTGTGAGACAAATTGGTCAACAGAGGGTGGAGGTCCTTTCTCACTGGGAATTTCCCCCTTGATCAATATCATCCCTCTAGCAGTCTTTCCACCTACAAGGGGAAAGATCCAGGGACTAATTTCTGGAAGGTTAGGATACGACTAGCTTCATGGGACTTCTTTATCAATGTGTTTCTGTGTAGACATTCATGTGGTTTCTGCAGACTTACCCTCTGACCATGAGAACAGGCCATAGGATTGCACACTCTCTCTGCCCTCTAGCGTACTACCCTCCCCCCATGTGACTTCTGCACCAACTCACTATCAACAGTGCTAGTAACCAGGTTAGGCTTGTAATTTAGAATTTTAAATTAGGTTTATGGCTGCAGAGGCCCACAGGGAATATAAACTAGGTTGTGCATATGCTGCCCTTTACCTTTTACCTATGCAGACAGGAACATTTTCAAGCAGGCAGGCTGATGTGACTGGCATTCATATGAGTTTGTAATCCCTTCCTATTGTAAATATCAACTGTGTGCATATGCTATACCACATATGTTACCTGTGTGGGCATAGCTATTGATAGGTATATGTATAATGCATGAAACACAATTTATTACAAACAAGCTGGCTTTTAATACAATCTTAGTCTGGATAGATTCACTAAGAACGATATAAGAGAATTAAGTTACTCAATGATGAGAATACTGTTAAGTTTTTAAAATTTAATTTGTTGTCAGGACATGTAACAGAAGATGAGGTTCTCAGTGTTATTAAGATTTAAGTGCTACTGGGATTATGATGAATACAAAATGGCAACAAAAAAGAAAGAAATGCTAAATAAAGGTTAACCCAATATTCAAGCCTTGTTCAATGTTTTCAGTGAGCAAATTATGCCATCAAGGTTAACCCAATATTCAAGCCTTGTTCCAATGTTTTCAGTGAGCAAATTATGCCATCGTCAAACACTGGTAGTGACTACCAGCCATAGGGTATAGGTAAAGGTTCCCTTGCTCGATTGACTACCAGCCATAGGGTATAGGTAAAGCTTCCCTTGCTCGAAAGCCAGCCGAATCCGACTCTAGGGTTGCCGAAGAGTCGGCGCTGTCCGAAGACGTTTCCATGGTCATGTGGCCGGCATGAACACCAAGGCGCACGGAACGCTGTTACCTTCCCACCGAAGTGGTACCTATTTATCTACTTGCAATTTCTTGCTTTCGAATTGCTAGGTTGGCAGGAGCTGGAACTAGAGACAGGAGCTCACTCCGTCTTGTGGCGCCCGGGTCTCGAACTGCTGAACTACTGTCCTTCCACAGCCTGCAGTTCAGCGTCTTAACCACTTGAGCCACCGCAGCTCCTCATAGGGTATATTGTCCCTTAAATAAGGAATGAATGCTGGCAAAGGGTACTTGTTCTAGGCAAAGGATTGGCAACAGCTGATCACATCCTCCTGTGGCCACAATCCAAAGGTGCACATGGATGATATTGGACTAGTTATGCTATATTAGCTCTGACAGGGATAGCGTAGACTAGCCTGGTCGTGTCAGATCTTGGAAGCTAAGCAGGGTCGGCCCTGGTTAGTATTTGGATGGGAGACCACCAAGGAAGTCCAGGGTTGTGATGCAGAGGCAGGCAACGGCAAGCCACCTCTGAATGGCTCTTCCCCTGAAAACCCTCAGGGTTGCCATAAGTCAGCTATGACTGGATGGCAAAAAAAATGCTGTCTTAGTCTAAATTACCCTGTAGGGTTGTTGTGAGGATTTATTTATTTATTTATTTACATTTATAACCCGCCCTCCCGGCAAATGGGCTCAGGGCGGCGTACCGATGGGGCCAATGCCCAATACATAAAACATTAAAACTGCATTTTAAAAACATTCAATACAGCATAAGTGCTCTCCACAATATCTAACAAGGGAACAGATGACGTCATCAGGATGGTATCCTTAGTGGCCACAGCTCCACGTAGTACCACCATTTTAGCACTCACTGCGAGTTGGTAATAAAGTAGAAGCAGGGAGAACCATGTATGCATGTATTTATTTAATCCATTTATACCCTGCCTTTATCTCCAGTGGGGACCTAAAACAGCTTAGAACGTCTTTTCTCCTCCCTTTTCTCCTCACAATCACTCTGTGGTTAGTCTGAGAGTGTGTGACTGGCCCAGGGTCACCCAGCAAGCATCCATAGAAGAGGGAGGGTTCAAACCCAGGTCACCCAGATTCTAGTCTGATACTCTAACCACTCTACAACACCGTAGGCGACCCCAAGTTCCTTGGAGAAAGGGCAGGAAAAAACATAACAATCAATTAGATAAATACAATAGGCATGCACAACATGTGCACTCCTGTGATCACAGCCGAGTCATTCACACATTCAGAGGGCTCAGGCGCTCCACCACCCTGCAGTTGATATTTAGCTCTGCTTGTTAAACATGCCCTTATTTTTCACCTTTGCTTTCTATAACTCATCATATCCCCCCCCCCATCTGTTTCTCAAAAGGACTTTCTCTACCCGGTGTCTTGGCTGATGAAAGTGCCGCCTTATCAGTGGCACTCCTTCTTTGCTTTTCTTTGCTCCTCTCGCTTCACTCAAAGGCGATGTTAAGGTGTCCTTGCCCGCTGAGTGTACTGATTGCTGAGAAACCATTTTTACATACAGAATAGCAGCCAGCAGTTTGAACTTGATTCCCGGAAAGTGGCTGGGATGTTAAAACACGACAGCATGCCAAATTAGGTGAAGACAGTGCCAGAGCTAAAGCTGCAAATCTGTGATCTGGGTGGGAAATGCCACAACCATAAACCGGGGGGTGGGGGATGGGGGAGAGTGTCCTTCAACAAACATTAACAGGATTTTAAAAAAATGAACTGGAGAGGTACCGTAGTGGCACTGAAATGTTCACATCTGTATACGAAGCTGCCTTATGCTGAACCAGAGCCTTGGTCCGTCAAGGTCAGCTGGCAGCGGCTCTCCAGGGTCACAGGTCGAGGTTTTCCATATCACCTGCCACCTGATCCTTTTAACTGGAGATGCTGGGGATTGAACCTGGGATCATCTGCATGCAGAATGACCCCAAATTTACGTTGCCAATTCTACCCTGCTGCGTAGTGGGATACACATATACAAAGTTCAGACATATTGAAAAGGCTACGAAAAACGGTGCAATCCTAAGCAAAGTTACACCCTTCTAAGGCCACTGAAATAAATCAACGTAGGAGAGTGTGTGCATTGCACTGTAACACAGGGATTTATTTGTATGATGTGTTCCAGTCACATGGGCTGCTCTGTGCCAAGGCAGCAGCTCCGAGGAGCAGATGCCAGGACTTCTCATTAGGCTTGCCAAGTCCCCCCAGGGGGGGCGGGGAAACCCCTACTCGATGGTCCCGTTACCCGCCGGCCCGGATCGTGGCTGCCGGGGGGAACCCCACCCCCAAAATGCCGTGAACGTGCAGACGTGCCCGGCGTGATGATGTCACCTGGAGGTGACATCATCACACCAGGCACGTTGCGGGGGGATGCTCTATGATTCAAGGGAAAACTCTATGGCTTTCCCGCGAATCATAGTGGTCCTGCCCCCAACATGACTGATGCAATGACGTCACTTCTGGGTGGCGTCATTGTGGCACGTGCACCGAAAACCTCCAGGATGGAGCCTGGGACTCCCCTGCTCTAAGGTTGCACTTGGAAACCCTACTTCTCATGCCAGTACTGGGACTAGCCCACAGGTACAAAGCCCCTGCAGGAGTAGTTCTAGGTGTTTTGGGGACTTTTCATACTAGGTACCTCCTACTCTAATAGTGCCATATACCATAAAGCTGAAATTTAAAGCTGACAAGACAGAAGTTAGCAGAAAGGCAGGCCTGGGACTTATACTCCCCTTGAAAAGCCAGGTTTGCAGCTTGGGAGTAGTACTCAACATAGCAACCACCTTTGAAAACCAAGTAGCTGTGGTGGTTTGGAGTGATTTTGCTCAACTTCAGCTGGTGCATCAACTACATCCATTCCTGGGTCAGTGTAGCCACAGTGATCTATGCCTTAATTATTTCTAGACTAGAGTATTGCAACATGCTCTACTTGGGGCTACCCTTGAAGAGTGTTCAGAGGCTACAGCTAGTGCAGAACGCTGTGGCTAGACTGCGTGTCAGGGCCAGCTATTGGGAGTAGTATATGACCCTGATACTGCAGCAATTACACTGGCTACCGATTTGCTCCTAAGCCCAATTCAAGGTGTTGTTTTTGACTTTTAAGCCCTACAGGGTTTGGGACTGGGGTATCTGAAAATAATAATAATAAATAAATAATACTAAATAGGGAGTCCATGAGACTTGTGAGGTGCCGGGTCTGGTACAGCTCCAGGCCCCACCACCCACCTCTGAGGCCAGCTGCAACAGCAGCACTGTTTGGGAGCTGCTGTGAGTTCGGAGCAGCTTCCAGTGTCTGCTGCTGCCGTGGCCAGACCTCAAGCAGCTCCCAGAGTAGCTCCGAGTGGCCACCGCAGAATCATGGTGAGTTGTCTGTGCGTGTGCAGACAACACTTTTTTATTTGGAGGGCTTTAACCCTCCATGTATTTTTTAAAAAGATTTTAGATTTTTCTGCAGGTTTTGCAGGAAAATCTATTTAGTGTTGGTGTGGCCCAAATCTGCAGATTTAGGTATTCACAGATGGGGCCACACGTTGCTATTAGATATATAGATAATAATATGTATGTGCAATATGTTCCTGCGGACAGAGCACAAGTCCAAACACGCACAGCTAGATGTTCCACTCTCCGGACTGTGGCCACATGTATACCGCATTGGAGCTACTGTGAAGGTTGCAGAGTTCCCTGTTTTAAACTGTAAGCCCTGTGTCCCAGGAAAACATCCTTATATTTTGACTACTGCCTTGAATCCTATTGTAAACCCCATATGGGGTTGAATTAATGCTTTGATCTAAAGAAGAATATTTAGAAAAGAGGAGAATAAGAAATCCGGAAACCTCTTTATCAACATGGCTTTACTTGAATAAATTCACAACTTCTACTCTACATTTTCTCCACTGAGTCCAGTCTTCCTTTTGTGGATCCTTTTGAACTTTTTGCATGGACTTAACCTGTGTGGGTTCTATAGTGTTTAAGCTGTGTGCTGTTTATTGTTTATTTATTTATTAGTTAGATTTTTTATCCCGCCCTCCCAGCAGGGAGTTTAAATTGCAGATCTTTGTTCTCGTACTTAATTGGGTTGTCCCACGGATGTTTTTTCTTTTCCTTATTCTATTTCTTGTTTCCTGGGGGACCTTTTCTCTATACAGTTTTGACACACGTATACTGTAGCATGAATACATATGCCACATTTACTGGATTTCTTACATTTTCTATATGCTAGATCAGTTTCTGCTAGTCTTTGTACCCCTTAAGTTCATACCCTTTACATGAGCCTTGCCCATAAGCATATACACAGATAGCTTTTTGCTAGAAAAGCTTCCAGTCATGAAAAATTATCCTTTGCTGGAGGGGTAATGCTGTACTGCACTATGAATGTGTCTGTCTGAGTAGGGAGACATGGCAATTTTTCCCCCTTTCCTGAATGGAATATACAACCCTTAAGAAAGAGAAAATGCCCTTTCTTACATCTTGCTCTCCCTTGCTTTCTCTTAAATGCATTTTCTAGATGATAAACAAAGCCATTAGTTTATCAAGTCTATCTACGGATGTTAATGTGATGCACGCGAGACATCTGTTAAACATCCTTAATGTTAGTTTAACAAGGAAGCATTCAGCTGCATTCCCTCACACTTTGTCCCATTAAGATGGGACGTGGCAGGATTCTCTCAGATAAATGGCTCAGCTAATGTGTCTGCCTTATGCCTTTCCTTTGGGGGTGAGAGTCAGAGAGAGCATGTTGCTGATAATTTTTTTATAGGCCATGCTTTGTACCTTGTCCAAGAATGGATCTCTCTCCGCAGGTGCCAGGAAGACACGATCTTGGCCTATCAACATTCGTACATTGCCATACTATATATCTATTGATAGACAGTCTGCTCATACCTACCATCACATCTAAGATTTCTGTTATCAGTTCCCCCTTCTCTGTAGAGTGTTCATTAACTATGAGCAAACATTAGGGGGTGCCAGGTTCTACCTTTCTGCCAGCAGGGGGATCTGCTGGGCACTCCTGACAATAGTTTCACTTCCCCAGGATCACCACTGGCTGGCTTGTTGTAGCACCAGATTCCAAAGAAAGGAAGGAGTAGGCACAGGCCCGTAGCTCCCGTGGGGCCCATGGGGCCCGGCCTTCCCGTGGATTTTCTGGGCCCCCTCCCCCTCCTCTGCTCCCCCCTCCCCCCGCCTGAAGATGACGAAAGGCTGGCCGCTGGCGGTGGCGGCGCTGGAGGCCGAGGCGGCGTCAGAGGGCTTGAAGCACAGTGGCCTCCCTCCCCTCCTCCTCCTCCCCTTCCTCGCCATGCCCACTGGCATCTGAAGCGCTCAGGCGGAGCACAAGGCAGGCCAGCGACATCGCTCCGCATGGGCCCCTTCCCTGCCTCGCTGGCCGAGGGAGGGAGGGAGGATTCGTATTTCTGCTTCTACCCCCGCCGCAAGCAGGGCCGGGACGGAGTTTGTACAAAGGCTTCTCTATCCTCCCTGCCAGCGACAGCCTTTGCACCGCCGCCTCCTGCAGCCTCCCCGGGCAAGCTCCAGCTCCCCTCCCCCGCCATATTATCTCTATATTCTTCCCCCCCAGCAGAGTCACGACGGGGGGGAGAAATC